TGCTTGTAAGATTTACTAAACTAAAACAGGTGGTGCTCTAGGGGTGAGGTCAGGCAGCTTCTGGATGACCAGGGCTATTTTTGCTTGTCGTGGGGTCTGAAACTGGTGGTGCCCCCCAAAAGAGCGAGGGATGTGACGCTGGTGCAATTTGATTTAGAGTGTGTCTGATTCTGGACCATCATTGTTATAGGCGCTGTCCCAATACTTGCATCTAAAAGAGGGTGTCTTCAGCACAGCTACGAACAAACTTTTTAATAATAATTTTAGAAAACTTCTTTGTGACGATATGGCCAATACACAACCTCAGGGCTTTTTTTTGTCATAGAATGCACCGGAACAGCGTTCCGGCACCTTTTTTTTTGACGTTTTGCAAGTGATTGTGAATTGCCCTGTCGGGCGTAGCAGGTTCATTAGCATAGTGCCTGCGGGCTGCTTGTGTGTCGGTGCTGGTTGTGAGGGCACTGCTCGGCTCGGGACGCTGCTCGGCTTGGGATCGGTCGTGTGGTTGTGTGCTGAGTGCTTACTGCCGGCGGCGACCATTATGTTTATGTGTGTGTACAGTGACTGACCCCAAGAGGTGAGTTCGGCACTTTTTTTTTTTTTTTTTTTACCAAAAAAGCGCTGCACAACCTTATACATACTTTGGTAAATAATACAATTAGAATATTATCTCTATTATTGATGGGCCCCTTTTACATGTTTTATAGTCTGATTCTGAAGTCTTTCTACTGAACTGGTGGATATTCCTATCTAACCTGTATTTAGAGCTGAGAATTCTGAATTGGATCCTACCCTTTTCCTTATGATTAGAGAGTTTCAGCTTCTGGGTGCTACAGAAATGTCATACATAGATACAGATGGATAAATAGAACTGTTGGGGATGAAAGAGGCCATTGTCCTTGGTGTACGTTTCTGGGCAAGGGTGACACTGACGCACCGGGGAGTTGGGTGAAGCCTGGGAGATGAGGCCTCCAAGACAGAGATGGTGGAGGTGGAAGAGCTTTTCTCAGGACCACCGTCTCCAGGTGTTTGGGCAGTCCCTGCTGGGATGGGGCATGGAATGGAGCCAGAGGAGCCTGCTATGATCCTTGAGCCCATGCCGTGGCATCGGGAGAGAGGGGCTAGCCGATTATAGGGGCCGCATGCAACTAGGAGGCCTGCCTGTCTCCAGAGGGGCACTTCCAGAGGGTTGGGGTCCAGGGTTACTCAAAAGGAGGGCTCTCGGAAATAGATTCTAGTATGGGTTCCACAAACCACTCTGTGCATGCTCAGAGACTCTTTCTTCACTGGCTATAGTTCGCTGGATGCACACTGGAAATAAAGAGCTTTTGCCAAAGAACAGTCCGTTGTTTTGAAAGAGAGAAGGGGCTCCCGACAGTAACCTTTAATATATGGCATGCTTGGCATGGCTTTTGGGGAAGGACAAGTGAGGGCATCCTGCCAGCAGACAGCTCAAGCAAGGAGGAGCATGCCCAGGACCTGCTCGGATTCTGTACCGCAAGGGCTCAAGCACTGCGCAAGCACTGGCTTCCTTCTCAGTCTTGCGATGCTCGGGCAGTTTCTTCTTTTGCAGAATCGCTCTTGTCGTGGGAATACCCGGTGGAAGCTTTCCATTATCCTTCCATTTCCAAATCCTTTCTGTCGCTCTGGCAGTGCGGTGCGCTCGTTCAGTCTCTTGCTCCTTGGTGGATTTCCCGTAGTGAGAAAACCAACAGAAGAACATGCTGCAAAAACACGGGAGGAAAACACATGGAAGTTGATGCCATCTGGGCCCCCTTTAAAATTCTGTGAGTGAGGCAGGGCAATTGGGCAAGAATTTTTCATCTGGAAGCACACTAGGTGGGTGAGAAGGGGTGTGCATGAGTATTCATGCCACAGCTGGCATTTGCTAAAGTCCCTGAGCACTTGGAGCATTTTGCCCTTTTATGTTTCCTGGAGTGGGTCTCATTCTGACCCATATAAGATGGAAACCATTTGAACAAGCTTTCTGGATTTTCAGGAGTCAGAAACAAGCACCGCTTGTGCATATCCTAAATTTCAGCAGGATTGGTAAAACATGCGGAGGGGTCTTAACTGTAGTTGGAGGAATATATTTTTATTTCATTCATTGAAATTTCAGGGAATCCAGTGAAGAACTATCAATCCGGCTCCAGCCGGAATTTTGAAGGTTGGGGAAGCTACCTCCAGGGTTTCACATCATAAAAAAGGAATAGCAATCATAGAATAGTACAGTTGGAGGGACCAGGAAGGCCATCAGGTCCACCCCCCTGCTGTTGCAGGACACCAAGTCACACCATCCCACTCAGGCGGCTGCCCAGTTTCCCCTTGAATGTCTCCAGTGTGGGAGAGCCCCCCACCTCTCCAGGCAGCTGGTTCCACTGTCGTATGACTCTGGCAGTGAGGAAGCTCTTCCTGATGTCCAGCCTGAATCTGGTTTGTGGCAACCTGTCCTATGCTCTGGCCTTAGCAAGAAGAGATCTTGGTGAGGACACTGGAACAGGCTGCACCAGTGTTGGCGAGTTTTCATCTTTGGGGTTAGCTTGTCCTAGGATGAAAAGTTCAGTTAGCACTTTCAGAGGACAATGGTTTGAAGCTGTTATCTGCCCTGCCAAAGAAAGGCAGGATATGCACTGAATAAACAAATGATAAGTAAACACTGGTGTCCTCAGCATGGGATCTCTTGATTTCCTACAGTTTGACAAACTTATTTCTTTATGGGGGAAACAGTGACAAAACCTTTTAACCTCTGTTAAACACAAAGCTGTGCATGTTTAGTTAGAAATAAGCTCGAAAGCATTCAAAGGGACTGAAAATTGGTTAGGATGACTTACAATTTGGTTGGAATATTGTCCATGTAATAGTGCTTGGGCACTTCTGTCAAACTTGGGATTCTTTTTATTATTGGCTAGAGAAACGGGACTTTGCATAGATTTTAAATATGTTTTTAAGCTATCATAAATGGAAAAAGAAGGCTGTGGGGGCTGACCCAGCGGGCTCGATGTTTTTGATGATGGATGTTGTTTGTAGTTTTCTTTTTGTTTTTTAGGATTATAATTTCAAATAAAACTTATTTTTTTAAAAGAGTAATATTGCTTGGGCATGGGGCTGGTGTGACCTGTGGGGCAGAGGGAATGTGAACCCTCCAGAACTCTAGAACCTGGAGGTGGGTTTGGAGATGCTCAAATCTCTTTAGACAGCATGTGGATAATTATTTCTTGTGCACAATGCTCGCCATTTCCCGAAAGGTGTGTCTACAGTTTTGCATCTCCGCTTGCAGTTTATATGGAAGGGGCTTGCTTATTTCTCCTTTATCTTCCCATTATTATTTTAACTGGTGGGGCTTTGCTTTGCCTTGCTTTGTTTTTTTGGCAACATCATTGAACAAAGTATTCACAACTCAGCCACCTGGATGTAAAGCCATGTATGATGCTTTGCTATGTTTTTTCACTGTAACAGAAAAAATGTGGAAAATATGGAAATGAAGAAGACACACAGAGAAGCAATGGCAAAAGGCTGACATAAGCTCATGCACGATTGTCATGAGATGAGCAGAACACCACTAGAGTAGACCAGAGAACCATCTTATCTGGCATCTTGTTTCCCACAGCAAGCTGCCAGATGACCCCAGGAAGTTAACTGGCAGGGTATGATGCTTACAATTCACAATAGGGTATTCTGAGCTCTTGGGTCACATTGTACCAGTTAAAGAACTGCAAAGAAAGATGAAGTTTGACACTACAAAAATGCAAAAGAGGATGGGACTAGAAATGATTCTTAAATTAAAAGTAACCTTCCTATCTGTTTTGGACTCCCCTTTCCTCATGGAATTACAATTATTTGGCCTTCTCAATTTTAATAGGTTTAAAAATCTACCTAGGCATAATATTAATGACTGCAAAGAGATTTTGCCCTGTGCAAACCCACAACAGCAGGCCTTCAAATCTGTGTTGAAAGAGGCAAAAGCATTGCTCAAAACATGAAAAAAGGCGAAAAGGAAACATGCCTCATGTTCTGCACTCTTATCTTTTCTCAGGTTTTCAGACAAATAAAAGCTCAGCTGAGCAGTGGCAGTCAGTGTGAGAAGACTGCAAGTCAGACTAGTCTCTGAGCAGTAGGGTGAACCAAATGCACACGAAAAGTTTCTAGCGCAGAATGCAAAGCTTGCTCATGAACCCCTCACATTCATGGGGCAAGAGATGGTTGGTGATGGTTCATTTTCAGTACAAAAGAGGTTCACAGATGAGGGAGCAGAACCTCCGCCCTTCCCTTTTGTCCTCTTCCCACATTAGTTCATCTCCCCAAGCATTTTCCTCGCACCTTGAATTACCTCTGGTATCAGAGCCAGGCTGGACTGGGGAGTAGTCAGGGCAAGACATTCTACGATTGCATCTAGTTTGCCATGAGATTTCCAGGTCCTTAGGTTTTCAGTCCCCCGGTAATCCCGATTTCCATTTTCTTTATTTGTATGCCTCTTTTTTTTCTCTCTTTCACCAGTGGTCTGCCTGCTACACTGTCTGGGCAGGACTGAAGTTTGCAGCTGGCACCACTGCTGAATAAACAGCAATGGGCAGAGATGTTTCCTATCAGTTACATTTGCAATGCTGATGGTGTCACCACCTAGGATCTTGCAAGGGCTGAGGTGATTTTGAAAGACCGCCCAGACTGTGAGGCCAGACTCAGGCCTTGCCTAAGGAGGAAACTCCTCGGAGACCAGCAGCAGCATCAAGCACATTTCTTTAGAAGATTATGTTGGCTTTGCCTTCTCGGTCATGGGGACTCCCCAGTTCTAGGAGCTGCAGGACTCTGACCTCTCGCCTCCTCATTGCTGTGGATTAACTGTGCTTTGCACCTTCACCTTTGCTTGGCTTTGTCCCTCTCTAAACCCTCCAAGAGGATCTGGTCTGTCCCAAGAGGGGTTTGGGGGTCAGTGGAAGCAAAAATAAACCTGGTGATACGCTGCAAAACAGAACGAGATTTTCAATGTTTGTTTTCTTTTACAGACCTTTAAAAGAGGCTGTGATTTCAACTTGGAAGCTTCCTGGCGTGAGCAAGCATTATAGAAGGTGTGATAACATTTGTCACTCCTGGGCCAGACTCAGTTCCTGGAATCAGGCATGTCCAGGATAGATCCTTACCAGCACATCACTGTAAGTAGATAAGATTTCTTATTTCCTTTGCCCAGTTTGAACTGCCAGAAATCATTTTAACAAGACTGGAGATCTGAGGAATTGTGCAGAGAGAAAGTTTAAATTATGGGTAAGGAATACTGTAAAGGCACTTGAGGTATACATAATGTAAGATGTTTAAGGGTATATTCAATGGCTGAGGTACAGAATAGAAATGTCTGGCCCAGGTATATTGGATTGCAGCTCCCATCATTCTCAGCATGCTGGCTGGGAGTTATGGGAGTTACAGACCAACATATTTGTAAGGCAGCAGGTGGGGAAGGGCTGGTCTCTTCCATAAAGACTTGAAACTTGTTAAAAGGAGAGCTGATATGCTGAGAATGGTAAAGTCTGCATCGGATACCATATGGAGCGAGATCTGTAAGCAGGTGCAATGGGTTAAATGAGCAGTTGATGGGGTTGCCCATAAGCAAATAATTTAGGAGTCTGGAAAAGCATTTGGTAGTCTATGTTGCAAGGGCGAACCTGTTTCCTTTGACACCTTTTATGAGACAGATTTGAAAGGTCAGTGTTGAAAGCTAGCCAGTGATTTTCTTTCTACAGAACAGAAGCGAACTCACATGAAGATCACAGGGCTCAACTTCAGTCAATACTTGTGGATCCCAAATGTTCAAACCATTCTTTGGAAATTAGGAACATGTCATGGGCTTGTAGGGTTTCTCTTTGTCTCCTATAAGCTGATTTCCTTTTCTCCTTCATGACTTGTTAAGCCAAAGCTCCCTGTGAACTCTGCATCAAAGTTAGCACTAAGCAGGATATCCTACTATGGTTTACAGTTCCAATTCCAGTCCTAGTTTGGAGGTAGTCTGGTCTGGTCTGGTCTTCTTGCCCCACCCCACCCTGCAAGCAAGGGGGCATTTATAGGGCAACCCTTAATCTGTCTTTGATTCTTAAGAAACAGTGGTTGTAGCACCTAATCAACCAGAGGAAGAAATCCATGCCAGCAAATGAAGGAAACAGCGAATGAACCTGTGATATGCTCCCAACAATTCATTTCATGCATTTATTTCTAAAATGCAATATTATGTCAACTCATTTGAATGAATTATTTTCAGCAACTTCAATGTAGGGTACAATACAAAGAATTCACTTAAAAGAAGCAACACAAAATAACCAGAAAGTGATTAGCAGTTCAGAACTTTTCTGCATGAGGCTGTTAATTCTCTTTAGGTTTCAGCGTAGAATTGATGTCCAGCAATTTCCTTTTCTTCTTTACCACTGCATAGCCTCTAGGTGGCACTATGGTAAAGCAGAATAACATGAATACACCAGGGAGAAAAGTCATTTCCTTTTGCTATATAAATAATATATATATTATTCAAAAACTTTCAAAAAGGCTGTTTAAAAACAGAAACAAGACTGGGGCTTGGGGGCATATCGCTGTTCTAAAAGAAGAGCCATAATCAGCTGTTACTAAGGAATGACAAATTCACACTCAATGCCTTGTGTAGAAAAGCTCTCACAAGTCACTGTTAATTGATATTGTTTTATTGGATTCTATTTATTTATGGTTGTGAGCCGCCCTGAGGCTTCGGCGAATGGGGCGGCATAGAAGTCCCCTAAACAAACAAACAAACAAACAAACAAATGCCATCATGAAGGTGCCCATAATTCTCTTCTCCTTTTGATGTGCTCTGGATAGTGAAGTTGCCCATTCTTCTATAAGAGCAAGTTTTATGTCACCTTGACTGTGTAGGTTCCCTCAGTGCTCACATGATTTTTGCTTTGCCATATATTTTGGCTGGCAGTGATAGATATCACTCTGCCAGTGGTAGAGTTTATATTCTGTGCTCTTGCAATTAGTGAGCCACACGTTAAAATATTTGTGAGGTTAAGCATTAGTGGGGCTGTGGATAGATACCAATATATGTGTTGGGGTGCTGGTGGACCACAGGCTAAACATGAGCCAGCAGTGTGATGCAATGGTCAAGAGGGCAAATGCCACCCGTGGTTGCATAGCCAAAAGTGTGGCTTCTAGATCGAGAGAGGTATTACTACCACTCTATATGACTCTGGTGTACCTGCACTGAAGTATTGTGTTCAGTTCTGGGGTTCAATATTAAAGGAAGGATATTACCAGGTTGGAACTGGTGCAGCGTAGGGCCACAAGGATGGTGGGTGGATTGCAGGGAAAGCCATATGAGGCAAGACTGAGGGAGCTGGGTCTTTTCAGCCTGGAGGAGAGGAGACTCCAAGGAGATCTGTTGGCGACATTTAGGTACGTGAGGGGGTGCCACATAGAGGTGGGTAGAGACCTGTTTTCCCCTGCGGAGGAGGGCAGGATGTGTTCCAGTGGAGGAAAGCTCAGGGAACCAGTATTCAAGGTTGAGGCAAGGAAGTACTTCCTGACAGTTAGGACCCCTACGATATGGAATGGGCTTCCACAGGAGGTGGTTGAAGCCTCGTTGGTGAGGGTGTTCAAGGATAGGCTGGACATACACATGATAGGTATGTCATGAGTGCAGCTGGCTGGAGCCAGGGTCAGACTAGATGGCCCCAGGACATCTGCCTTGCTCTGTTTCTATATTAATTGTTTCACCAAAGTGTCTTGGGGGATGTAAGCACTCTGAATTTGGAACTGGAGCAGGTGAAGATGCCCATAAACAAGCCATTAGTTTCAAACCAATAAGTATCTTTTTAAAATCACTTGATAGCTTTCTATATAAAATCTTTTGTCTTTTGTCTTTCTTCTGTGCTTTCCTTTGTTCAGGTGAATGCCTTTGGGTTGCCCTGTGGGCCTTTTATCCCATGTTTGGTATAGGCCACTTTCAGCAGGCTTGGGCAGAAGTTGTAGCTAAAAAGAAAAAAGAAAAGGAGGTTTACCAAGAATAGAAAAGACTAATTCTTAGTCCAATATTGAAAGCCATGTACTCCGGATGAGTACATGTCTTGTTTAGAAAGCAAACAGGAAGTTAGAGTAACCACAGAACAAAAGAGAGATCCTGCGTGTATGGGTCTGTATGACAGATGCAGCAGGAAGTGAGGTGAAAGAGTATGGAAAGAAGATTCCTTCTCAGTGGTGGCCCCCTAAGAGGGAATAATCTACCCACTGAGGCTGTTCTGGCACCAACAATGTCCTCTTTTTCAGCATCAGGCTAAAACTACTTCTGTTCCCAAGCATTTCTTGACAGATGTTGGGTTATGTGAACTGTTTTACTAAGTCTAGTTTTTATTGAAAATTATTTTAGATGTTGATAATTTTACCCTGTTTTAAATTTGTGCATTGGAATTTTATATGGTGCTTTTATTGCATCTGTAACTTCAAAACTGGTGGCTGCTGCATATAAATATTTTCTTTAATTTCTTCATAAGGAGAGGCAGTTGGAGCATCTGCCTGCTCCATGTGCATCTTTCTTGCACTTGTGTTCGTATAGGAGTGAGTTTTACAGGAAGTGCAAAAGTTCCATCCTCTCCCCCATATTTCTGGGGGGTGCCTTTTTGCCACTAGCCTTGCTTTCTGTCATGAGTGCCCCCTTCCGCATCAGACTTAGACTTGAAGACCTACTGGCATCCCACGGACTTTCACACATGTCCAAGTCTCATTTTATTTATTTATTTAAAACTTGTCTACCCCAACCCTATGCACAAGTCTCCAGATGGTCCGACAACAAAGGCACAACATAATATCTGATAAAAGCCCAGCTAAAATAAAAATCAGGTCTTAAAATAATGGGAAAATAAAAAGGTTTTGGCCTGGCACCGAAAAGAATAAAATGTCGGGGCTAGGCACACATCTCTGGGAAGCATTTTCCACAGCTGGGCTGCTACCACAGAGAAGGCCCTTCTCCGTGTAGCTTCTCTCCTAATCTCTCTGAAAGAGGGCTCCCAAAGAAGGATGTCCAACCCAGATCTTAGGGGGCAGGCAGGCACATAGGTAAGGAGACGTTCCTTCAGATAACCAGGTCCTAAACCATTTAGGACTTTATAGGTTAACACCTTAAATTGGGCCTGGACCATAATTGGTAGCCAGTGTAGATGGTAAATCACCGGTGTTATATATGCATTCCTGCTGGTCCTTGTTAACATCCTGCTCTATTTTGGACCAACTGAAGTATCTGGACCATCTTCAAGGGCAGCCCCATGTAGATCGCATTACAGTAGTCCAGCCGGGAGGTTACCAGAGCATGGGTCACCGTTGCGAGGCTCTGCTCATCCAGGTAAGGACACAGCTGATGAACCAGCCGAAGCTGAAGGAAAGTGCTCCTCACCACCGCAGCCACCTGGAGTTCCAGGGACCCCTCTGGGTTGAGGAGCACTCCCAAACTGCACACCTTTTCAAGCAAGGACTCTATATCTTTTCAGACAGATTTGCTACACTGTTTTGCTTCTACCGCAGACCTTTTTTCCCCTAATCTGCCGAAGGGCGTCTACAAATCACTGGCTTAACTTTAAAGAAACAGTCCTCGTGGTGGCATTGGTTTCTTTGTTGCCTTCGAACCTCATGCTTGTGGTCCAGTTGCTTCTGCACCCTCTCCTTTCTTCCCCTTTTATTTATTTTCCCATTCTGACCTTGGCGGCAAAGAGCACCACTAAAGACAGTGCAATTCACTTCTGAGCAGACATGTAGAGAGTGCCCTGTTGCTCTTCCTGCACTTTAAGTGGCGTGAGGCGCGTGACCCTCACACCTTTGCATGGGAGCATGCAAATACGAGCAAGGTGGTTGGACTCCCTCAAAGAGGATGCGGGCCAGAGTGCAGTTCAGCTGAAAGAGTTGGATCAGAAAGTGTGGCAAGATTTGGCCCCTAGGATGGCTTATAGTCGGAGGCAACTGAGCAGCTGAACAACAACATTAGCAAATACTGTTTCTATTCTTTAAAGAATACTTCCTCTTTGCGGTGCCACTGTCTCTTAGCCCACCACCCCAGTAAAGAGGGTTTAGCACACTCTGAAATAGATACCATGGAGAAAATGCAGCAGATTAAAAGGGGGTGAAGCAATTAGCCTGACAAAATCAGAGACAA